TGAGCCCTCGCAGAGAGCACACAGCTGACAGCCCATGCCACAGCCAGCTGCACGCTCCAGCCTGGGGGCTCAGGAACAGCTCCTGCTGCAGGGCAGCGGGCAGGCCATGGCACTGCCGCTGTGCCCGGATACCTTCCCTGCTCCCTCCCAGGTGTGGCAGCTCCGGGGCCAGAGTGTTACAACAGGGAGTGAGGAGGGGAAACACCTTTTTCCTGGGGGCTTTGATGTGCAGGTCGTACCTGTCCTTGTTCTGTGTCCTGTCTCATTCGGTTGCCAAAGTACCTGCGCCACACTTCAGCTTCCACCTCATGGCGCCTAGATGCCATCAGCAGCTGGAGCTCTCTTTCTTCCCTCTCAGTGTAGACGGAGTGAATTCCCTGAAGCCCATGCACACAACACACATGCAGCATTAATCACCTTGAGCTTGGGTAGGGCAAGAAGGCTGAGACAATGGGCAGTTCTTGCTGCCTGTCCTGCCCCAGCCCAGAGCCCAAAATGTGACACAGAGCTGGCAAAACCCAAGGATGTACCATTGCTGAGGGCCGTGGAGTATATACAGGGAGCTTTGACACCGACTGAGATTGAGCTGTGGGTTGCATTAGCGTCTTATCAGTCTTCTCCTGGATTACATGCAGTAACCTAAAGAGGAAGGCCAGCAGTCTGAGTCTGTGGGAGCCCAGTCCAAGCCTGTGGGATGGGCTCACACCCTGCCCCATGGCACCACACAGCAGTTCAGCAGAAGGACCACAAGTCCAGCAGCACAAGGTCTCCAAGGCCATTCGGCATCAGCACGTGCACCCCAGCCACAGGAAACATCTCTCCCCCACTACCACAAGTGCACAGTGTTCCCCACACAGCCTCAGCCACACCACTCCCCTACAAGGCTCACCGTCCTCGGCCAGGCTCCTTGTCTTTAGGCTGATCGGATTTCATTGACTGCTGGCTGGCCTGGGAAACCCTCCGCCGAGCCAGGAACACCGGATCCAGCACGCTGACTGCAAGCAGGAAAAAGGGAAGACAACACGTTGTTTTGAGATCATGTGGGCCAGCGGGATGGGCAGAGTTGCTCAGTCGTGTCACACAAGGCTCGCCCACGGTCCTTGCCAGCCCTGGGAGCTGAAGTTCCAGGCAGGCCACTGTCCCTTGCCCACACTGGATCTGCTCCAGAGCTGAATTCCCACCAAGACACCCATCTCTCCAGGACATGGTTTTCCTCCTCTCCTTCTCACAACTCTGCCACCAGAAGGGACCCACCAGGAGGAAGAACAGGGAAGTACTGGGAATCCCCAGGGCCCGCTGGAAGCATTGGGTCGCAGGGGCTGTCCACAGCTCAGAGCCTCTTCCAGAATGGGTCATCCCCCAGTGATCTCAGACCTCCTGCCCTCTCATCAGGGCAAGAGCACCCTCAGTCCCCACCAGCCCTCAGATGAGACATTACCTCGGCGGGTACCCCCGCCCCAGGGCGCTGACTCTCTGCTGGGCTTCAGGGAAATCACAGGGGCCCAAGGCTGGTGCGGGATCTCCACTACAAGACTGGAAACAAGAAGGCACCAACTGGGTGAAGCTGGGGCACCAGGCTCCCTTGGGGGGTCACACTTGTAACTGCTGGCACCCGTCTTTGGGAGCCACTGCCAAGTCCTTGGAGGACACGACACACATGCCCTCCTCAGTGTCCCCACAGACCCTCCTGCCTTGCTCAAAGCAAAATGGCCATTTTGTCTGCAGTCTCCAAGTCAGGGAGAAGTGAGTGGTGGGCAGAGCAGGAAGCTCTCCTAGGAAAGTGCTTGTCCTGCCCGAGTTTGGCTGGAATGGAGGCTCAATGAGCTAGAAGCTGCAGAAGCCACGTTGCTCACCTTGGCAGGGTGATGACCTCATCTCGACTGATCCGATTAAAATCATTCTGGCCTGGAAAGGCCACAATCTTCATCATGTTCGAGTCCTGGAAGGGGACAGCCACAGTTCAGCAGACACCCAGAAACATGCTGGCTGCCCACAAAGGTGGCAAAGCCCCTTGCTGCTCAGAGACACAAAGGCCAGAAAGCCTCACAC